AATTTTTTGAGGAATTTGTTGTGAGGAAGTTTTTGGCAATTGGAATTTTTTGCCAGATCTGGGTTCTGTCGAACATGGAAGGAAGAAAAACAGTAACCGATGGGCAAAGATGGTGATGTGGGACCCATTTAGATGTATCTGGCACAATTTTGCCAGCTAGCATGCACATGTCATTACTTTTTTAAGTTTTGCTCCTCACGTCATCAAAAAAAATATAAAAAATGCCACCTAAGCAGGCTAACGGCCCAAATTAACAGAAGGACTAACGGAGTGCATTTTGTATAGTTGAGGGATCAAAAAAGTGCAAAAAATTATTGAGGGATCAAAAATGCTCATTTCTTAAAGTTAAGGGACCAAATTAAGCATTTAACCTAGAAAATTAAATATTTTATGTGGTATGATGTGTTAATAAAAATTTCACCTATAATTGCCAACCGAACCTGTGACTCAATTGGTTGGCCCCAAGCTTTAGGGTTTGGGTAAGGCGGAGATCAGAGTTTCGAGCTCTGCTACTGCCGTGAACTCCACCAACTTGCGACCTAATGGTCGTGCGCCTCAAATGAGGGGTGGAACGTTCACTTTCTTAGAAAAATTTCAGTTGCTAATAAACTAACTCTACTAACTTCCTAACCATCTACCTGGTCAAAAAAAAAAAAAAATTTTCACCAATAATTAATAATAAAAAAGTGTTTTTTTAGATAGCATGTACTTTTAAGTACAATTTTGACATTAAGATTATTAAAATGTTTCTAAAGAAACTCCTTTTTATAATTCATTATTATTAATAATTTTATAATTTTAGTATTGAAATTGTACTTTGAATATGCAAGTTGTACTTAAATACATAAATACATAAAACTCCTTTTTATAATTCATTATTATTAATAATTTTATAATTTTAGTATTGAAATTGTACTTTGAATATGCAAGTTGTACTTAAATACATAAAACTCAATAATAATTAAATAGAGGATTTTCATTCTTATTTTTTATGCAACGGACGAGGGCAATAGAAAGATATATCTAAGTAATTACTTACTCTTTTGCCCAAAATAATTATCTTTTTTTTTTATTTTAAATATGTTTTAAATTGATTTTATTTTTTATTTTTTAAGATAGACAGATATATTTTTCATATTTAATCTTATTGTTATCTATTTATTTTAATTATTTATCTTATAATAAAAGATCTAACTTTATTTTCTATTTCTTTTATAAGTGTACTATAGGTAAATATATAAATTATTTTTAAATCCTTAATTTAAATAAAAAAATTCAAAAATGATAATTATTTTTGAAAGGAAATGAGTGTAATTTAGCTTTAGTAAATTTTCTGTTTAAATAACACGGTATACAACTAAGGAAAAATCTGTAGTAGGCAATATAGCTTAGTTTTGCCTCTGGCTTCTCGTGGGAATTACTTTTTAGAATAAATATTACCTCATTTTCAGCTAAAAAACCGAATTAAAATACAATTTATAAATAATAACCGAGGAGAGTTTCAAGAGATTTAGTATAAATAAAGAAATATTCTTTAAAAAAAATTTTAATTAAGAATATGGTTTTTTTTTCTTTATTAATCAAAATTACGACTTTTTAAAAGTTTTTAATTATTAAGAATATAATCTTTATGATTTTCCTAAAAAATGCAACCACCTATGAGATTATTGTGTATATATATTTTTTATAGACATGTGCAAATCGTACAGTATCCAAATACTTGGAGGCATAATGATATAATCAAAACTGTAAGATAAACCTGTCTCAATAATTTTGGTCTTCTCTTTAGCATCAAATTAAAAGGGGGAGAAAACCAAAAGAATTAAGCCCTTCAACATTTTGTATAACCTATATGGATTTACCAACTATTATGACAAAACCAAATTCAAAACTCGAAATTTCAGATTGCTAAGATCTCTGCTCATCGCCATCCACTAGTCATCTTCCATACTGAAAAAAACATTACAAAGCCTGCAATAATGTCATTTATCAAGGAATTAATTATGAATGAAAAACACTTTGGATTCCAAAAAATAGGCCATTGATCTTGAGGAAGACTCCACATTCAAGGCTTGTCTCTATCAATGGTTATACTTGTATAGTTTACATTAGATTAGACTACGTAATATTTTTTTAAACTACGAAAATGAAAAATAGATGTGAAGAAGAAAAGCGAGATAATTTGGTTAAAAGAATGGATCTAGAGAAAGGTACCTGCCATTACATTCCCAAGCGAATTTGCTCTTCTAGTTGCTAATGAAGGAACTGCATGGCAAAATTCAAACAATTGTCATTTGACATTATGCAATTCATGTTTAGGTAGAATTACAAAACAACTAACCAATAGAGTTTTTTCTTTTCTTTTCTTTTCTTTTTTTAAAAAAAACATGGTACAATTTGTGGATGCAATTTAAAACCGAGTGGGTTGATAGCTCAAAAGCATGCTAATTTATTTAACATGAATATAATTTTTAACATGGAACTCAATGCCTCTTATTATTCGAAAGTTATATACGTTACAATTTTATTATATTTTGTATATTAAATCCAATATAAACATCTCAAAATCTTGGTTATGATATTAAGGTAAGGTTTTGGAACTTCTAATTAGTTTCTCCTATGTAATTTGGATTTACATTGCATGATTGAGGAGTTAAATTGATTAAAAAGTAGTCTAAGAGCTTACTTGAAAATTTATTAAAAGCTTAAGGATTCAAAGAGCTTTTTTTAACTTTAAGGACTCTATGATATTTAATTTATACTTGAGGACTGTAACAAGTTTACCCAACAAAAAAAAAGGAACTTAGAATAGGATGTTTCGACATTACTCACCTGAATCACAATTGGTGGTGGAATTGAAACCGCCGCACATACAGACCTGCCGGACATCATCGCCGTACCCGCACTCGCCGCCGGTAGCCTCACACGCCTGGCAGTATTCATCGTTTCCCTGAACCGAATACTTTACCCGAATCCCATAATCCCACTCGCTCGGCCCCTCTTGCCTGAGCGGCGCCAGACTGTATGCGCTGCTGTACGCTTCACACTCCAATTTACTCAGATTTATCGCCCTTATTTCCTCAAACGCCACCGCACAGCACTCCGGTGGACCCGACCCGTAAACCGGACCCCAACCCAGACCAACCCCTTGTCCAAGTGAACTCCAGGCAGGACACCGATAGTATTCCTCACAACCCATTCCGGAAACATTACGGCACGGCATATGCTTTCCTGGGAACCCCTGGAACAGTGGCGATCGAGGAGAGCAACCTATCAACATGAAGACATTGTCCTGAATTGGGCTGAAATACGGCGCCCGCCACTCTTCGACGGTAAATCCGTTGCCCCGACCGCCAAGAAAGATGGCATCGCAGTTGGACAAATGAGGGTCGTGGAGAGTAAGGGATTCATAAGCGTAGTCGATTTCCAGGACCCTGTATGAACCAGAGCTGATGTGGAACATCAGAACGTCGTTCATACAGAACAGGAGGTCTCGGAATCCAGGGTGGCCGCAACCGGATTGAAGCGCAAATGGGTAGTCAATGGTTATGTTTCCGCAATAAGATCGACAGTTTTTGACACCTCGGTTGCCATTGGCTGAGCTTGGTGTGGACAAAACCAAAAATGTGAAACAGAGGCTGAAGGAGAAGGAGAAGAGTGAAGCCATGGGGATGAATGAAAGACTGAAAGTAATGTGGGGAGAAGAAGAAATTCAAGGAGTGATGATACTTTGCTTGTTTGCAGAGAAATGCGTTTGAATTTAGGAACTTTGTTCACGTTTAAGCTTTTGAAGAATCTAGTTGTAGTGTTTATGAATTTTCCATTTTTTTTCAAACAGGACAGGGTGGAGAGAATTCAGGTGAACTTTGTTCAGGTTTAAGCTTTTGACATGCCCGACGGTCAGAGATTCCTCTTGTCCAGGCACTCTAGAAGTGTTGTGTTGTGATCTCAGTGGTGCTGTGTTATGTTGGATTGTAATGTAATAATAGCTTTTTTAAAAAAAATTTTATTATTTAAAAATTATATAAAATATTAATTAAAATTAATAAAAAATTAAAAGGATTAATTAAAAATTATAAATTTGCCTTTCTATAAATACAGGTGCTTTATGAATATTAAAAAATTTTTGTTCTTCCCTTTATATATTACCCTTAATAAAAAAAAAAAAGGTATGAAGAAAATATTTTGGTTAAATAATTTATGTTTTTATCCTTTATTGCCCGTATTCTTTATATATATATATATATATATATACACTTTTAATAGTTATATACTTATTTTAAATCTGAGGCAAAATGGGTGATTAGCCACATCTACAGAATTAAAAGGTTGATTTTCCACAATTTTGATTAGGGGCTCATTGTCCACAACCAATGAATTGAGGGGCTGATAAGCACTTCCAGTCTAAAGCACGGCTTGATTTGGGAATTAGGAGGTGTTTATTTTAATATTTTAAAAATAATGATCAATTGTTAATTTTATTTAAATAAATTAAATAATCTAAATTATAATAAATAATAGTTATTTAATTATTTTATCGCTTGCATCTAAATAATTAATTCAAACACTTTTTATTACTAATTCTTTAGTTTTTGTTTTGTTATCTTTTATCACCATAAAAAAATATAAAATATTAATTAAAAATATAAAATATTTTAAATATATTTTATATATTTTTTAAATATTAAAAAAAATAACCACGCAACAACAACTCAGCACTAGCGCATCTGCCGTTTTCAAAAGAGGCCGCCCAGAAATAGAAAAGCAGGATGCACCAGATAAAAAAATGTAAAAAAAGTAAACCTATTCCCATTCCGCCAAGAAAACAAAACCCTTTTCTTTGATTGCGGACATATTCTCCAGTAAAACACTCCCACTGAACTTCTGATTTCTCATTCTTTCTCCAATCCCATCTTCATCAATTCGGTTCCGCTTTTGAAAGCGTAGAATTTAGTTTCTAATTACCTGTTAGTTGCGGTGATGAAGGGAAAGCGTCAAGCGAGGGACCCAATCCGGACTTGCTTGAACATATATATCATCCACGAGATTATGCATCATCTCTCCATAAAAGAGGTATTTCGAACCAGCGTTCTCTCAAAAACATGGCACCGCCTCCGACAATCATACCCCGTCTTGTGTTTTAATCAGGAAGGACCTCTTCTTTAAGTCCGTGGCAATTCAATTCCTCGTCGCTTTAAAGGTTGGGAACCGGCAAAGGATTTCACAGAACGTGTCCACAGTTCATTGCTTCGATTTCAACAATTGAATGTATGTTTGCAGAAACTTTATACTGGCATGCATGCTTTTGATTCCACGGTTTCGAAAAAACTTCGAAGATGTATAAGGTTAGCCCTAACGTTAGGGGTGACAAAGTTAGAGTTAGATCTCTGTATCACTCCATACAGAAACCTACGTTTATTGTCCGAAACTTTACGTTTCTCCGAGAAAGAAAACAACCTATCAGCAACGTGGCTACATGTGGGTGATACTCTAAATTATGTTGCTAAAATTGCCTCAGCATTGTGCAGCACGTCGGTGACGCCTTTCTTGGTAATACCTCGATCCCTTGGTGATACTATTAGCAAGGAACCAGGAAAGAATATTGGTGAAGTAGTTTACCATGCTATTTCCAGGCCTGTGCACAATAAGATGTTTCGTTTCACTGATTATTAATGTGCATCACCGATGTAGTACACAATACTACCTAATGCCCACCTTCACGTACAAGAATAACAATATTAATGTATGAATTTAAATTTTCCACCCACAATCACCGATAATCGTTTACCATGCAAAGATTGTTTAGTAAAAGTATACAACCCACCTTTACCGACCAGGGTTACAATGCTAATGTCCTTAGCAAGAAACAAAAAAATTTCCATCCATCTTTACCAACATGATTTCAATGCTAACTTTCTCATAGTATGAAAAAAAAATAGTGTGACTAGCAATTCTTTCTTCATCATTATTTCTACAAATACCATAAATACCTAGACAAATCTATCAATAATTCCATTACTTGTCCACCATTCCGTTATCATTAACTCTAATTCCAACATCATTTAAACAAAATTTCCATATGATTCATTAATTACAAAAGCCAAAAGGGTAATGATAGGTTTACCTAAAATAATCCACACACTCCATTACACTCTTCAATTTCCGTTATTTTCC